TCAACAAGCTATCAAGTAGCAATCAGTACTGATATCTTAGCAAAATATGCAGTATTCTAAAATTGCATTTGAAAGTATTTCTACCTAAGCAAACCTAATCTGTTGTTTCTCCAAAATTATAAGAAAGAAAACGAGCAAATGTATGGGACCGATTGTATAGCTGGTGTTAATAACTATAGTCGTGTTTATATATAGGCACTCAACAATATAGTAAGGTCAGATTCTCGGCATAATTCAAGCTCTGAATTGTAAGCATCGTAGTCCTAATTACTATCTTGTATACTACCAGTATCTGCGCATGCGGAAGATAGACTAAACCAGTCACATCGACGTCAGCGTGCGTGGACAATAATATAAAGACTCATTTTTTTTTTTTTTTTTATTTTTTTTTTTTTTTATAGACAACCTCGGGCCCCATGATTGGGCGCCAAAAATTTATGTAGCAAGTACTGTGGTGAAGCTACTCTAGCAATACATATCGGGTAGCAACGGTGACGGCGGTTGGCAGCCAATCTTCACAAAATAATTCGGGAAGTAGTCACCGAGGCCCCTCGTGGTTGAGTTAGCATGGCAGGGCGGGATCCTCTTGTTCCCTAGCTCTTTCGGGTGGGGGGGTTCTTTTTGCCATGTCTCGACCTGCATACACAATTTTATTTTAGGATCCCTACAGAATCTAAATTGGAGACCGATACTCCGCAGAAACAAAATCTCAAACAGGCATAACTTAACGAGCACTTAAAGTGCCAATACAATGGTGATAGCTTTCATTAGGGCATATATATTCCGAAGAGGCGAAGTCTTGGATGTAAGCTGACTCTCGCGTTCGATACCCTCCCAACCATGATCTTCAGCGTTTAAGGTTTTGAAGATCCCAAAAAAAACATTCTTCTACTACATTATATCACCATGTCACCAGGAAAGAAAACTTAGCAATTCATAATCAAAATCCGTAATTAATATTTATTATAAACAAAAGCATTATTCAATGAAACTGAATCCTTCCGTTAGATAATCTGCATCTTATTACAAGTGGCATTAATGATTCAACAATAATTCAGTAACTAAAACTAGTCCGTTAATATTTTTACAATGTCTCAAAGATTCTTCAAAAATAATTCATTTTATAAACTATTCAGTTAATATTTTTTTTTCTTATTGATCAAAAAGAAACTCTCCAAATTTCGCTAAAGTGCATTTTAATAATTATAGAATATAGCTAGGTAAGAAAAAAATGACATTCGTAAATTGAACTAAAGTGTATTCGGCAAAAGCAAAAAAAAAAGTTATTATAATAGAGTCAATACAATTGTAGTTGATGGTTAATTGTATGGTCGAAAAAAATATGGGCAACAGAAGGTTAAGCTCAAAGCGCATGGGCAAATCGGAGCGCAGCGCAACCAGCTGATCGGTGAATACGATGATACATCTTTGTGTACATATATTTGATTCTGTTAAAAATCTTTTCTTTTAGGTTGCTTCTGTTTCAGCTAGTAATTGAGCGGGGTGTAGGTAGAATCAAAGATGATAAGCATTCACCAGACTGACACGGTCATAAACATATTGATCGGAGCTAAAGCGTAATGTGAAACAGAAAGTAAAAAAAACTCAGCAGGTGCGCATGTCAGTTTGGCTGTGCTTATCTGTGCCAAAATAAGAAAATATACTCAAAACAAAAGGTTAAAAACTTACATGTATTCCTCGATGAAAGGCCTTCCAGCGGAGAGTTTGCAGCAAATTTTATTTAATTTTTTTTTCATTTGTTTTCTTTTGTCTTCTGTGGGGCTTTAAATTGTTTTGATTATATTATTATGGCACAGGAGGGTTTTTAAATTGTGAGTACTAAGAAGATACTCTCCGAAAATAAGTGGGAAAAAAAATATAAAAAAAATTCTGAAATGACTTTGGACTCTACAAGAAGGGGGATAGATTTATACTAGTATTCCTTTCTATATATATAAAGCTATGTATATAGATGTCAATTTTTCTTTTTCACTGCACTTGCACGCGGTTTTTTGAGGGCCTAATAAATGCACTTTTCACAAACTTTTGGAAGTCTCTCACAAGATTTAGTTAACAATTTTTTTACTAAAAACATTTAACAGCAATTTTCATGCATCTGCACGCTCCGGCCAACTTAATTGGCGATGTCATCTGGGCTTCTGATCAGCGGCGCGTCAATGGGGCCCAGAAGGCTACTGCCTCTTCCGGATTCCAAACTGTGGAAACGGCGCCTGCCCTTGCTGGCATGAGCAAGGGTATGGCAGCTGATCCGCCGTTGAGGCTGACGTCTATTTAATGGGGGCAGAAATGTCATTGCCGTCCCAAGAAATTACAGTGCCGTCCAATTGGCACACGTGGCGGCTGCCTCAAAATAAGTGGGTTTTTCTGTCAGAGACGGCGGCGGCAAGATTTATTCCTCCAAAAATTACTTTCGGCAGGCAAGCAAGAACTGGTTAAAACTGTGACCAGATCTTGGCACAAAGAAATATATGCCGGTGAGGTGCTGGTGGCCGGGTGGCGGAGCGAAAGGTTATCATCAAATGAACAAAAAAAATTTATTTCGCCAATCGGTTACTTTTAGGGTTTTTCTTTTTATTTTTTTGTTGTTTTTGGTTCAATTTAGTTGGAATTTAAATTAAACGAATTAAACGACTGATGCCCGAACTTGTTGCTTTTAGATTAATATTTTGGTGGGGCTATGTCCGCACCGCCGTAGCCAGACCTTCGATGGTAAAGTAACTTTTGAAAAAAAAAAGGGTTATATCCGGGACCTGCAGGCTTATATAGGGTCTCAGAGCTTTTTTCTTTCCCGGATTAGAGGGAAGATAGCTGCGCTGCCAACGTGCACGCAGGCGGTTTATAGCAGCGGCTGACTCATTCGCAGCTGACCATGACAGACAAAAGCTGATCGCTATAGCGTCGTTACACAAACGCAAGCTGTTAGGATCGCTTACGCGGTTTAATTTAAATAGGAAAACTGCGACCATTACAAATTCACTGCCGTCCGGTTGTCCAATGACTGCTCTTTTGGTTTTATGTGTATGGTAAATGGTAAATAGTCGCCTGGCTAACAGGGCGTGTGATGTACGCATAAAATGTTTGCCTTTACGAGTGCCGTAATAAAATCATATCAAAATTTAATGTCCTGGGAATGTGTTTCGCCCCTGTCGCCCCAACATCGCTGCGCGTGTCTCTTTGCCTGTCCGGTTGGTTACTCGCAGTAAGTTTTATGCCCCTGCATCTATCAAATTGTCAAATGAGCTGTCCGCAGCAGGACACTTGGTTGGGCTGACGCATATGGCTTTTGTTGGGAGAGGGGGCAGAGTGGGAAGGGCGTGCAGCCCATGCGTTGGCCAATTTGCATGCCAGCTGAAAGGGACTTTACACGCATCAATCAAAAAGGCTGTCGCCAGTGCCTTTGTGCAATCAGGAAATGAATTACGTGAACCGAATGCCAGTCCTTTGGTTCCTAGGGGACAGAACAAAGGCTTCATTTAATCCCGCCTGAAAACGGATGCTCTCGCACATTCCGAATCGTACACAAGAAATTTGTTTGCATATTTATAGTATAAACTCGAAATAAAATACTAAGGAAATATTTTGCTTGTTTTTCTTCCGATTGTTTAAAATTGACCTTCGCCGAGTTGACAACAACATGATAAGCACGAAGTGGTATATTTTTTATAATATGATGAAAAAGTCAATAAATATGTGAATGCGTTCTGTAAAGTTTTGCTTGTTCTATGAAAGATTGTTAGTATACAAAATAAATAAATAACTAGCGACCTTGCCCGGGGAAAGATGTGTGCTAAAAATTTGGAATATTACTTATTCATCCCGCCCATAGAAAATTGCAATGTCTTCGGGTGTTAAGCAACAAACTTTCATGCAACCGTTTTCCGAAAATTACCACAGTTTTAAGGATGGAATTTTCAAAATCGGTGGAACACGTATTTCATAAGTTCTTATGTAGGGCTTGGAAAAAAGGCTTAAAACAAATCGGACGAGACTTATAACTTCGCCTTAAAAATCGTTGAGCCGCATTTTTAACGAGGAAGCTTTAATTCTGTGAAAAGTATGAATCACGTTACAAGTAAATTTTACCCACCAAATCTTTGATTCCTACTTATACCAAGAAAGAATGGATTTCTAGAAATGTGCAAAACATTCCTTAAATCATTTTTAAGCAGAGATCTTTGAAAATGATTTGAGGCCTATCGGATGGTATGTGTAATACTCATTGGTATATAACTAACCCCTTCATATATAACTAGCTTAAGCTGTCAGTATAAGTTAGTAGTGATCTTGTTAATAATCAAATATATATTCATTTTTACAAAATTTATTCTTGATTTTTCCACACTTGTGGAAAAACCCTGCATCTCCATCACATAAGTTATTTACAGAGAAAATTGCAGCTTCCTAGCTCTTACGGCTTAACAATCAAGTTCTATAACTATCGTTTAACGTAATGCTGCCCAATGTCACGTCTCAAGTGGCCTCATTCTTACCTCTAAAACGTACTTTACGCACATTTCAAGTCGTTTTCATTTCTTTGCATAGCGAAATAGCCTTAAGTGACAAAAAGTTTTCAGAGCGATTTTGCACTCCCCCACAACTGTCCCCCTTCACCAATAAGTTTATGAAGTCAATCAAGTTTTTAATGATGGGGACATTTGTCTCTCAGTTCGCCCCGTTAAATAATTTAACAAATGTCCGCAGGGCCATTCAGTATTTGCTATGCTCTTTATTTTCTTCCACTCCTTCTTGTTGATTGTGTCTCTTTTGGGTATTGACTTAGGCAGGCGTCTTTTTCGTAGCATACTTTTCAGCGCAGAACATAATTTAAATATGAATTCTCCGCATTTATAATTTGCCTTTAATTGCGTCGCATTTTAATGAATCTAGAAATATCCCTGCAAGTGAAAAGCGTTTCGGTCTTACGATTTACACATATTTATTTGGGATTTTTAAAAATACATGTTTGTTTCTTTTTTTTTATATATATTACACATGCACATACGTACTCGCACATAAATAGTTTCAGTTTTGTTGACACATATGCATTATATGATATGATTTCATTGTTTCGGGCTTTTAAATGTATCTTAACACACTGCATACAAGCAACTAGCTGTTCGATATATATACCATATACATATATATATAAATATCATGTACATATTTGTTTTAAGACCATTTGCTAAAGGTCTGCAGTTAAACTCTTAAAATAATACAATGTGCTGCTTCGAAAATAATTTATTCGACTTGTTTGCCAATTTCTGCTGCAGAGGTTGCCGGCACATTTCTCATTGTTCGCGGACTCCGTTTGTCAGCTGCTTTAATTTATTTTCATTATCGGCCACATTTGCTCGCAATACTCACGGCCATTTCTGGTGCGCTCTTAACCCAGCTTTTAGTCCTTACAATCGACGCCGCACAACGCCAGCTCCCAAAGGCTTTGCCTTTGACTGCAATAAACAAAAGAATTTCGTTTCGTTTTTAAATTTTTATTTTTTTGTTGTGGTAATGCAAATCTTTTAGGAATTTCAGGCGATAAAGATTTAACCTCAGGCATGAGAGTAACATATATTCACAAAGACAGGCAAGTATATTTCTTATACAAAATTTGTTCATACTTGAACAGTAGAAAATGGTCTTGTTAAGGTGTTAATCATGGTTAGTTGCGTTCAGTAGTGATAGCTCGTGCTAAGTCATGATCAATCTTTATAAGTCGTATTCACTGTGCTGTTCAGTCGTGTGAAGTAAGTCGTGCTTAGTCTTGTTGAGTTGATTTCAGTCGTGAAAGTTCATGCATGGTCGTGATAAGCCGTGCTTAATTGTGTGCGCTCGTGTTCTTTAGTGATATTATAAGAGGTGTTCAGTTGTGTTTGGTAACGATATTTCGTGTTCAATAAGTCGTAATAAGTTGTGCTAGCTCGAAAAACGCAAACACACTCGACACCACATTCTAAAACGTGCACACTTCGTTCCGAGTCATGGCTGTTCGTGTCACAAAATATATTTGGATACCCGTTTAACTCTTTTCAATTTAAGAAAATGCTGTGCAAAATATAATACACAGAAAATGTGAAAAAATATTGGTAAATACGCACCATCACACGCTTTTTTCTAACGACGGCAACAGCTGTGCCACTCATCAGTGTGCTGCACCTGCTGCTGTTAGGATGTTTACAACAACCTTTCGAGGTCCTCACTCTCCGCATCGCTTATGTACGAGTCGGTGTCCGTGAAGTAGTCATCGTCGCAGCGATTGCGTCGACAGCAGACACGACGCCCCATTTCATCGTCGCTCCAATGCTCGAACTCCTCTTTGTGGTGCTCCAGCAGCATCAGCGAGGGGAACAAGCTATCGCAGCCGCTGCAGCTAGAACAACAAAACAAGAATGATTATGTTCGATGAGGCTGCTGGTAGAAGCGGGCACCGTTTATTACCCAAAGTGTCGCTTCTTTTGCTGATGCGAGGCCAGCTGCCGATGGCAATGGAAGGAGCGATCACACACATTGCAGGTTAGCGATTCATCTGTATGTTGAAAACCCGCCCGCAGATTATACTAATCAGTGCCTCAAACATAGTGAAATCCCCAAATTTTGGGACACTCACCATAGTCGTCATCATCGTCGGCCATGGCCAGTGCGTGGAGGCGGCTTATTGTGCTTTCGTTAATCTGTTTACTGGATGTGGACATGGACATGGCAGACGTTGACAGGTCCTTTGATGATTTGCCTTTGGTCTGGCACAGGCCAAGCTCACATAAAGCGTTCTCCACCACAAAGTTTCCCTGGCAATCGGCATTCGTACATGGCAATAGCTGCAGGCCCTTCTCATTGCCATTGGCCTCCTCATGGCCATTGATGTTGTTCCTGTTCGTGTTGTTGTTGCCGTTGCCGTTGTGGTTATGGTTATTGCCATTGCTACTGCTGCTGGCGGCACCAGGTGCCAGCATTTCAAAATCGTCTAGCTCATCGAATGGATCATCGATTTTATGGCCCAGTGACACGGTATCGTCCGCCTCTGCGCTCAGCCTGCCGTAAGCTTTGCGTGGCGGCCGCTTCACATATTTGTCTGATGTGCAAAAACAACAATAATAACAAAAGGCTGTTACGTTCATTTTCGGCACACCGAACACAAAATACTCTTGTAGACATAAGCTTAGCAGGGTGAATTGATGTCATTTTGTAAAAGCTAAGTTTGGTAAGGATATGTTGAAAAACAAAAAGTTTCAATTCAAAAATTTCTATTTCGATCGCTTCTTTCTATAAAGCGATATGATTTTGTAGGTCCATGTTGAGAAGATTTTACACATATAATTAGTCTGGAGCATGGTTTAACTAGTAAATGTTAATGAAATTTCATTGGCGGCTATATGATAACAGTGGTTCGGTCTGACGATAGCCTTAAAGCTGTGAATCTAGCATGCAAAGAAAAAGACACGGCACGACGGATGTTGATGCCAATCAGGAATATATAACTTTATGTGGTCGGTGACATCTTCTTACTCACATTTGTTGCCAAGGTGATACTACCCTCTTCAAGGATATAGCGAGAAAAGTAAGGACGATAAGAAAAGCATTTCGTTTGTGTAAAATATTTTGGCGCCTTTGCACAGCCACACCCTGATACGCCCCCGCTAGAACACATGCGTCCTACCATCTTGCTTGGCTCGACAAAAACTATATTTTCGCCACATCGAAATTAAAACTTTTTTATTTCTTTTCACTGCAGCTGACAATTTATGTGCGTCTTTGTGTTGCCTGCGGGCTTTGTTTCGAACTTTGACTCAGCTCAGGTTTCTGTCTGGTGTCCCGTGTCCTGTGTCCTAGGGCAGCACAAAAGTTTTGCTGCCTGTCCTCGAGCGGTGAAGTGATAAAATGAGATTTATTGTGCCCATTGTCGGAATGTGTATGTGTGTGTGTGCGCGCTGACTGAGGCTTACAATAAATACTAGCCGGCCTTTAAAATTATACAAAGCTTTTATTTATGACCCATATTTATGGCGCTACCGACACACATTTATTTAGAAAACTGGCTTTTGAGCGCTCATTAACAGATCAGTTTGCGGTCCTGGTTCAAAACTTTAAGGTAAACTTGACGTATACGATATAAAACCAAGGTTGTTCAATGAGCTAAAGCCGAGCAAGGTTCGAACCTTAAATTAAAATTAGCCAAAACCTAAAAAACAAAAAAGCCTCAAGGCGGACCATTTATGTGAATAATTTTATTCAATATTTTGGGCCTTATCACATATAAGAAGTTTATTTAAGAAACAGAATCCAATAGAATTCACATTCTCTTGACATTTCCGTGTCGGTTTTACTAGTTTCAATTTAAAAGAGTTTACAAGTTTTCTTAGACATGCTTAATATATATTTATCATATAGAAATCAAGCCGTAAATTAATTAAAGCATGTGCGATTATATATAGATTGTTTTAGTCCACGAACTACGCTAAGTTCGAGTGAATGAAGTCTTCATTGAAATCGATGGAAAAAGTAAAATGTCAAATGGTTATTGCTAGAATTTTGTTATGCTAGCAAAGCAAAATGAAGTAAATAAAGGCGAGCATGAATATTAAAAAGCGTGACATGCAAACACCAATACACGCACACGCATACTAACACACTGTAAGCTGGGTGGGAAAAAAAATTCAAAAATTGTTTGTGGAGCTGTGTAAGCGCGCGTTCGCCTATGAAGCCAAATAAAACTCATTTTTATTGCTCGAGAGTGTGTGTGTCCGTGTGTGTGTGAGTTTGCCGTTGTGTGAGCAGCGCGCTAAAAAGTATGCACCAACAAGTTTTGCGAGAAAGCATTTAACGCTATGTAGCATGTGTGTGTGCGACAGTTGCCGCTGGCCTTTTGCTACGCGCAGATTGAAATTTATGACACAAGTGGAAGCAAATAAGGAAGGGGTGGCGAGAGAAAGGGATCGATATATAGAAAGAGTGAAAAGGAAATATAACAAAAATAGTTGCCCTTAAAGCTCCCGGGCCCCGACTAATATGATCTGAAATAAATCGAATATGAAGCGTATGTAGAAACTTTCGCATTACAACAGAAAATGATTACTAATGATGCGCCGGCGGCTGACAGCTTTCTGGGTTACTAAAACATAAATCATGGCCAGAACTTTGGCTGGCGGCTTTATTAATACACCCGATAAACGCCCAATCATTTGCCAGCCTGTGTGAAATATTTGAATTATCCAAAAAAAGCAAAACAAGATAAAATGCGCTTAACGAACCGTCTTGACTAACTGATAAATACCCCATAGAGCACGTATATTAAATGATTTGCATGAAGATATAATGCAATTTTAACTAAGTTAAAATAATAGTAATTTTAGTAATAATAATAATAATAATAATAATAATATTAATAATAATAATAATAATAATAATAATAATAATAATAATAATAATAATAATAATAATAATAATAATAATAATAATAATAATAATAATAATAATAATAATAATAATAATAATAATAATAATAATAATAATAATAATAATAATAATAATAATAATAATAATGATCATAAATAAATAATAATTGCTTACTTTCATTTAAGAGACTTTCTTGCCCATCATAAGCTACAGGGTATACGAATAAAACGCTGCTGCAACATAATTTATGATTGTAGTAGATTCCCTTCGGGCCACCCGCCATCCACAATCCCGTTCACATGGTGTTCTGCTAATGGTGTCTGCAGGCAAAGTTTTCCAAATTAGCTGCCAATAAAAACAAGAAGTCGTATGGCCTTCAAAAATTGCCAAGTTTTTTGTGCGTGTCTCAGTACTAATTGGCTCATACACACACACGCACACACATAAATGGCATAAATGTGCGTATAATTGCTTTTGTTGTTGAACAATTGCCGTAAATTGAATGCATTACGAATATGTCAGTACAAATGGGAATATGGCGGGTATTTATATCAATGACAAATGGTTGTCATAATTATCGGTTAATGCCGCTGACATATGTTGACCAGCATTTGCATAATAAATGACCTGTGTGTGCTTGTGTGTGTGCTCAACATATGTTGTTCATTTGGCTGAAATAATGCGCAATAAATAAAATATGCTTGTATTCTTTTTTTTCAGTAATGGGCAACAGAAATTTCATCCATAAGCTTAAATATTGTTGAAAAAGTTAATATTGGCATACAACAACACGTTTTCGAGTGGGTTTTCAATTTTAAATATAACAATACATAAATAAATATTTGATTGAGATGTTATGCTGGCAAAAATACTGTTTCTGCTTTTCAAATATGCAATTAAATTAAAAATGTTTATCTATAGGTTATTTCAATTGTCAATAAGCAATTCATTTAATATATTTATTTCCATAAGCTAATAAGTAATTTAAAAAGGTTCAATAAAGCGATATACTTATATCAATGAGCCAATTATAAGCATTATTATGAATGCATTTGTGTTATTATTCCTTGAGTATTCTAATTTTTAGGGTTTCAATTGTATTTTGAAATGTAATGTTTATTTTTAATTTACATGTAAATTGTTACATTAATATGCAAAGAGAATAAATGTTATGTTAAATGCAAAGCTCAAGTTATTCTAATAAGCTTACAATTTATATAATGAAACTATCTAGAAATAAATATAATTTCGATTTCTGTATAAGCTATGTGCATATTATTGTTGCTAACAAAAAGTTATTTATATTTACACATCCTTTCTTTTTACACATCTAAATGAAATTCTTATCTAAAGTTATCTACGTATCTAGAGTTTCCGTTCCGGGCTTCCTATCACTTCTCGGCTTATCACGAGCTTTGGGCGTTTGATTTGGCGCGAGGCTTAGCGCTTAGACAAAAGCATCTTGGGAAAATGCCTGAAGTGTTTTTTTCGACAGTCATATCCGTGGCACGTTTGTGACACTCCTACTCCCTCACAATACACGCACACACACTCAAACACATGTGTGAGTAAAACCATAAGGACGGGCTTATTATTAAGAGAGTTTTTGTGGCTCGTATTTGCTTTGCCTGAACGGACTCGCATTTTTCCATCAGGCATCGACATGGCCAGAGAGCTAGAAGATTTTGTGCAAACAATAGGTACAAGTGTGTACTTAAGTACAATATACACACCCACACACACACATGCACACATATGTTAGTGTATATTATTATGTGCTTCTCAAGTCATTGGGGGAATTTTAATTAACTTGTTTTGTTACGTGCGAAGTATTATGAGTTCAAGATAATGCTTCAACCTCAGATTAGAATTGCTTTGTTGTATTTGCGCTTAAGTTTTAATGGAAAAACAAGCTGGTAAAATAAGTAGGCGTTATCTTCGAGCCTGTTAATAAACAGCGTGAGGTTTTAAAGCAATAAACATTAATGTATATTGAACTATGCTTTGTCGAACAAGGATACAAATTGTTTTAAGTAAAACATGTAATATTAAGAGTGTAAACTAACAAAAATAAGGTGGTTCGGTTCACGGCTTAAACTACATCCTTAAATTTCAGCTCGCAAGAGCAGTTGTTTACATCTGTGAACCCAGTTTTTGGTTTGAATCTCGTTCCTTACATCTTTTGCTTGAGCGTTTTTAAAAGAATTTGATTTATTTCAATTGATAATTTTGTATGCACATATTTATATACACATATGGTTCAGGTTGGCTGTTCTGTTCTTAAGTAAGCTAATCCGGTTTAAGGTTTGGCGCATGGCAAATATTGCATTGCCGTAGACAGCACCGACCCTATTAAATCTGTCTGCCTGTCTGTCAATCTTGTCTTTTCTTACAGACATTACATGTGTCTGAGTCAGCCGCATCAGATTATTAATATACTATGATAATGCATTTTTTTACTATTATGATGTTCATATCATTATTTAGCTATTAACGTAACTTTATAGCACTGGCTAACTATGATCCGTGACTAAATCAATACTACATCCATCCTGGGATTTGAACCCGCCTGGCATTTGAACCCGAATCCGTTTCAATACAGTGTTTCTTTAGCGAATTCAAGATGCGGGAACCGGACGTTATTTGCTTCACGGGTTCACAGCTTTTTTCTTTGATTACAGAGATGCGCGTTGAGCTGAGCATATTGGCAGCTGAGTCATGTTACACTAATTAGGCAGTCCACTCAATTAGAGCCCTTGTTACCGAAATCTAATCATATAATTGCTACCTGGATCGTGCAACTTACCCTGGGTGCTGTTGCTGTGGTTGCCACTGCCGCCGGCGCCACCATTGCCGTTGCCTTTGCTGAAGCTGCAATTGTTGTTGAGGGAGTTGAAAAAATTGGCGGCGCCTGTGCGACGTAAGATCCAAAACATGTTTTCAGTTGTTGCTGTTGCAAGTAGCAGCTGCTGTTGTTATTCTTGTCTGATATGTTACACTAAAAAGTATGCTACGAACTAAGCGAAACGCAGCGACGGCATTTTAAAGCGTGTGCCGATAAGCGCGAACAAATGAGACGCAATGACAGCGAGCGCGAGCAAATAAGCGAGTGAGAGACAGCGACGCGAACGCATACGTTCGACGAGTATAGAAAAGCTTAGCCCAAAATGGCGCTGGCAGCTGTTCCGTGGCGTCGCGTTGTCTGCAGCTAACTGACTGATACTGGCATCGGCGCTGCCTTTTTATAGACGACAGCAGGCGAGAGCGTACAACTGAAGTAAGAGAGTGCCACAGGGAGAGAGCCTCATGGCGAGAGCGAGCCTGTCGAGCCGTACGTTTGACGGAACATTACGCTACGTAACGTAAGCGCAAGCTTAAGCGATTTGCCAACTGTGCATTTGCTGCCAACGTAGCCACTTCCGCTACTTGCTGCAGACGTCGACAAGAGTATGCTAAATGCTGAACTTGACCTTGGTCAACAATTGCAAGTTGAAACACTTTTGGTCTTCAAAACTGTTTAGCCTTAAAGGGACATAAACGCCTAGATGCACCATGTTAACATTTGGGTTAATGGGCGCTTTTCAGTCCAGCTGTCTGCACATTAAACTGACCATCTATCAGGGACCGGAAGCCACCCGGACACTATTGTCAACGGCATTTAAAGTGTGCTGCACGCATATGGCGCGCCACGCCCATGTCTCATAAAACTTAACTGCCGGCAGCACATGCAGCAGGAGAAAACTTTAGCGCTTACAAGAACATACATGCCATTAGGTTCAAGAGCGAGACCAAGACCAAGTGCAAGTCCAGGGTTCATGCCCCGCAAATTGTCGCCTTTAGTTGCGCTCTGAAAAGCATTAAGCGTTTGCGACTTTAGTGCCACACGACAAATTACAAAAGCACTGCCCAGCAGCTACCATTGCGCTCGAACAACTTTTACTCATAGTTTGAGTTACGCGATTTTGTTTGTTTATTCACGACCAAACAGCAAACGGTGCAACTTGATATTTCAAAATGATGAATGGCAGGGAGTAGGTGATGTGTGTGCACTTAAAAATAAAAATCTATTAAGCTGACGGAAGGGAGCATCGTCGATTCCTAAGGTATTCATATTTCTGATCAGAATAATGATGTGAATAATGTTAGTCCGACTGTATGAACGCGTCACTTTTGGGAACATAATAGCTACATACTTAAAATTTGAAATATATGTCGATATGCATTCCATTTTCATTATATCGTTAAATATAGATTTTGAGACATGGCTTTAAAGCAAAGCTTGTCAGTTACAAGAGCTAGATACATCAAATTATTTTTCGATATAGTATACAAAAATTTAGAGATTGCGTGTTAGAGGCAAGGAGAATCAAATCAAAACCTGAGCTAATATAAGTATAGGAAATCAGCTATATGGACTTAACCTTAAAAATAAAATAATAATAAAATAAAATAAATTAGGTTCTAAGCTAAGGCTTAAGTTACCCCCTTATGACTGTGAGTTGTTCTGATGGGTAGTTCTTAAAAGAAAATAAAACAATATATATTTGCCTTTGGAATGTTGCAACAACAATCTGTGGCAGGTTAGCTATATACTATAACATATAAATACTATATTGCAAATAATATTTTCAGTATATTTATATGACATTTTTTAAAAAATATTATCGCTCTTAAATTCTGTCTGCAATGCGTTTTTCCCAATTAGCTAATTTACTTAAATATTATCTTTGCACATGCCGGACAACATTTGGTCATATGCCAATCGTCTGTACTCATTAAATATTAATATGGCAATTATCAATTCAAATTGCCACGAATTGCAAGCGCAGAACTTTTCGGCATTTGGGCATATCAAATATTCATTTCGTACGTGCCAACGTCAATGAGTCAAGCGAATTGTAATCGATAGCAAATGTAAATTGAACTTTGTGTTATGCTGTCCCAAGTTTTGTCATATAAATTATTTATTATCATGGCTAATGCATGGCCGATACATCCAACAAAACAACTACAAACATACAGAAGGTGCTGGCATATTCCGTAATTAAATGAATTGACAGGTAAGCTCGAAGATAAAGTTGGCATCTAAATTGATAAACGGAAATGGAGTACAAAAACGTTGCCATATCATTTATTTAACGCATCAACTAATACATTTGGCATGCAAAATAATCTGCAAAACATGTATTTTTACAAATTGCCTTACTATGTGATTCTTATAAACTAAAGTAACACAGATTTTCATACTTTGATAAAAGTATCAAATTAGTGAGCAGTGTTGGCACATTTATTAACTTTATCTCTGCTCATACTGTCAGATTAATTTAGTGTCTTGCATTTTCACTCTTACGTCTTCCCTCTTTTCTCTTCTGCCTTTGTTCTTTTTTACACATATAAAAAAAGAAAAATGTGTTAATAAGACTCAACCCCGGACACGGGCTATTCGCTAGTGAATAATCAAATTTAATACCGCAATGGGGCAAAGTTATAGCCTCAATGTAATAGTGCCTAATAATTGCGCAAACAAGAAGTGCAGAACTCTAAAATTGGTAACTTCGTCGGACAGTAGAATAGTCGAGAAACTACAGCCATGAGGTGTGCCAGCTTCTGTTGCTGGTGGTGCTGCATTCCGACCCTGGTGGTTGGCCAAATAAAGGGCATAGTCGAAACCGAAGAGGAAAATGGGATAGTTCTTTCGATTATTTCAGAAGTCGATCGATTGGTACCTATCAGAAATTTCATCACATACTTTGATAATCGGGAGCTGGGCAAAAGATTTGCAGTGGCTCCAGCGTTGCACCAATCTCTAATGGAAGCCTTCGAGCGTCCGGTGATTGTGGCTGGTACCAAAATCGGGGTACTTCACAATTTTATAAATTCTGAAAATCTGGCGGTGATTTTTTTTAACGGCATTCAAGATCCTATGCTAAGCGTGGCGCATAAATCATTGAATGGGCTTCAATCAATGTGGAGCATATTTGTGTACAAAACGGATGGAATTTTGGCTTCGACAACTATTTTAATAGAGGCCTTCTTTAACTGGTGCTATAATACAAATTTCGATAATGTGATGCTCGTCTTGAAGCGAAACAACGAGTACGAGATTTGGTCATTTGAAATTAAATGGAGAATGAGAATATTCCAGTTTTCGGTAAAGACCATAGGCCAAGCGATAAGTCACAAATTTTGCAATCACGGAGAAATGGGACAGTACAGATCTTTGGTTGCTGTTTTCCAGAGTTTGCCAGATGCATTTGTGGTAAATGATTGATTTGTGTGCTATAATTCATTTACATCTCCATTAAATCATTTCACTTTTAATTGACAGTACAATTCTTCAAAGAATGGCACCCCTATTAGCCTTGGCGGTAATACTGGCCTCCTCTTAAAGTCATTTATTCAGCACATAAACGGCTCCATGGACATTTTGCCACTGTCATATGACGAATATATAAAGAAAGTTCCACAAGACTGTACGCAAGAAAGATGCATTGATATCGGCGCAAACATGCTATCAAACTTCAGTGTATCTCCGCAGAGTCCGGTGTTGAGGGTGACACAAACTTGCCTGGTGTTGCCCTACGATAGTTGGATTGCTCTGGAAGTCTATCCAGTATCGTTCGACAAGAAGTTTTCTCTATTAATATTTATTGTATTCTTCACTGTCGTGTATGCCGTGATTAAGCGCATAGCGAATCCGCGCATATCTCTAGGTGCGAGCCTGTTTAGTTGTTTCCGGCTCGCAGCGGGACAATCCATACCAGGACGTACATTCCGTCGTCTGGGCCTCCCAGAGAAGTTAATAGAGGTCTTTACGCAGATCTACAATCTTTTGATTGTGAGCCTTTTTGGCAGTGCCCTGGCGACGGCTCTAATTACAGGTTTGCGCAAACCCGAAATTCTGGACACTGAAACGTTTTTGGCCAGTGGACTGCAAATCATGGTCTTTCCCGAGCAGGTGCAGAGCCTCTTCGACTATATACCGCATGCGTTAAGTAATCGTTTAATCGTTGAGGACCAGAGTGCCAGGGATCGTCATGTTTACTCCCTGAACAACAGCTATGCGTATGTCATGGAAACACACAAATGGATAATATTGGAGTTCATCCAGAGGCGCCTGCGCAAACCTAAGCTGCGATTGGGTCCACAAGCGTTGTGCAGCGCTCAACGGTATTTGAGGTTTCATATGCGTTCGGGTCTGTGCTTCGCGCGTGCTCTGAAACAATTTGCAATCCAAGCACACGAGACGGGGCTAGCTAGTAAGAAGTGGCTGCAACTGGGACTTCGTCAGGCGGAGGCGAGCGGCATGTTAAGTCAGGCACCCTACGATCCGCTTATCCGTCAGCCGCTGCAAATAAAATTCTATGGAGAAGTTTTTTTTTTCTACAGCTTGGGCATGTTTTTGAGTCTGGTAACTTTGGTGCTGGAGTGCCTATGCGCGTATTGGAGGACACGTAATACTGTTATCATAGTTTAAACATAACGTTTCCAAACCCCTAATAAACCCCGAACTGCTTTAGCACCCAACAAGAATTTTCGCTTATAATAGAACTTGGTAGAGAGTATTATAATGTTGTCATGATATGTGTACTAAATTAAAAGAGGAATTTCCTACCACATTATAGAATATCATTAACAGCCGATGATATAGCCATGTCGGTCCGTCTGTTTCTATGCGAGCTAGTCTCTCAGTTTTAAAGTTATCGTCTTTGCATAGGTTAGTCTTTTTGTTGGCGACAGTATTGGGAGACTATATTATAAACATGACAAAGGAACGATGAGTTGAAAAGAATACAGAGTGCTTTTTCTTATTTCATATCCACCTCAGAAATAAAAATAGGAAGTAATATTGTTTATTTATCTATTAAGCCGCATAAATGATTGCAGTTTAATTTCGAGAGCCAGTTTCATTGGCAATAAAACTTGATATATAATAACATTGAATGGCACAGTGGGGCAAAATGAAAATCCCAACGTTATGGTGCCTAATAGCTGTGCACACAAGGATAGCAGAGCTTTAAAATGGGTAACCCCTTTTAATAGCAAAACAGTCGAGATACTACAGCCATGAGGTGTGTTAGCCTCTGCTGCTGGTGGTGCTGCATTCCGGCCCTGGTGATTGGCCAAATAAAGGCCGTAGTGGAAACCGAAGAGGAATATCAAAACGAATTTTTGACAATCATCTCAAAAGTGGACAGATATGTAAAATTCAAAAGCTTTATCACATACGCTGATAACAAGGAGCTGGCAAAGGAATATGGAACCTCCGTTTCGCTGCAGCAACGTCTAATGGAAACCTTCGAGCGACCTGTGATAGTCGCTGGTACCGAAACTGGGCTGCTTCGAAATATCATCAATGATCAAAATCTAGCGATCATTTTTTTTAATGGTATGCATGATTCCACGTTGAGAACGGTGGATGAAACCTTGAGAAGTCTGAAGACAATTATGACCATATTTGTGTACAAGTCGGAAATGAATTTAATGCCCTCTATTGTTCACTTGCAAGTCTTTTTTACCTGGTGCTGGAATAGACATTTTTACAATATTATGCTTTTTTATAAGTACAATAACACGTTTGAAATCTGGTCATATGAAATGAAAGGAGAAATGAAGATATATAGACTAACTAATTGGACCCCAAGCCAAGAGGAACAACGTGCTCATCATCAGCTCACTGATATGGGACATTACCGATCCGTAGTTGCCGTTTACCAGAATTTGCCAGATACATTTTTTGTAAGTGCCAATATACACGATTTAATGCTCTTACTCCGCGAAAACTAAAAATATTTGTTTTGACAGTACAAAAGCCGCGACGGCACTGTTGCCCTTGGCGGTCATCTTGGTATTCTGCTGGATGAATTTATGCGCCATGTCAACGGAACTATGGACATTATGCCACTGTCATTTCGCGATTATTCGAATGCAATTGCCAAAGGTCATAAGGGAGGTCGAACTATTGACATTGGCGCGAATCCGGTTACGGACTTGAGTGTTGCATCTTATAGTCCGATAGTATTGGCAACACGCACCTGCCTGATCTTGCCCGATACTGTGCTTCCTATACGGGAGTATACGTTAGCCTACAACAGCAACAATTCATTGGTTCTCTTCTTTGTATTTTACACCATCGTACAAGGTGTGATTAAGCGAATAGCCAATCCACGCTTGCCATTAGGAGTGCTGGTATATAGGAATTTTCTGCTCGCCATGGGACAAACTGTAAGCAGCAGGTCATTTCGCCGCATGTGCTTGGCAGATAAATTTATGGAGATCTCCACGAATATATATAATGTTCTGGTCAACAGCATTTTGGTCGGCGCCTTGACAACGGCTCTTATCGCAGGTTTTCCAAGGCCTGAAATTGTGGACGCCGAAACATTTTTGGCCAGTGGACTAAGTATCATGGTTTTTCCCGAGCAGATGGACAGTCTCTTCGATGAAATACCATCGGCTCTTAGTGAACGGCTTGTAGTTGTTGATATGAAGACGAGGGATAAGCATGTTCAAGCCCTGAACGACAGCTACGCCTATGTGATGCAATCACACAAATGGCTGCTATTGGATTTCATCCAGCGGCGCCTGCTCCAGCCCAAGCTGCAACTGGGCCCCAGTAAGTTATGCGGCGTTCAACGTTATTTGAGGTTTCATCTGCGTTTGGACCTTTCCTACGCGAGAGTTTTAAAATACTTCATGGCCCAAGTACGCGAATCGGGTCTGCCTAGAAAGCTGATGCAGCTGGGACTGCGTGAGGCGCAGAAGGCTGGAATTCTTAGTGAGGCACCTTACGAGCCGCCCATCCGATATCCGTTACCCATGATTTTCTTTGAGAAAGGCTTTATATTATTCGCATGTGGCATATCGACGAGTCTGGTGGTATTTTTGCTTGAGTTGGTCTACTATCGCTGGAGCCATAGTCGCAACAGTATAATCGTAGTATAAACATCAGATTTTAGGGCAAGTTATGTATTTAAATCATTTGTGTTGTCAGCTTTAAGCGCTTTAATAAATCTCACACGGCTTGAGCACCTTATGAAAGAAAAGACTAAATTGAAAGTGATTAACTAATATATATTCTTAAATTATTTTGTCCATCAGTGTGTCCTTCGGTATGAGCAAAATGACTTAAAATTGTAGTGTGTGCGTTGTATTTGCCCAGTACCTGTGGATCGCCGCTTGTCTTGTACGGCCCTGGCCATTGAGCTAGACGTACCACTGGTTAAGGAAACCTACTGGTGTATATAGAATTTCGGGGGTCGTTCACTTGTTGCTTTCGGTGCTGAAGCTCGTCGGATGGAGCGTGGATTTTCCTGCTCTCGCATTAGGAATATTTCAGCTTTTGAATAAGTGGTAACTATTCGACTAGAAATTATAGGATCGGTGGATCGGTGGAGCCTTGCGATTTGCCATACAAATAGGTTTATAATGTATAGTGCTGAGCAAAGGGAAAGAGAAAACATATTTGGGGACTTGTTAAGCACGCCGTTCTTAGGACTGTTCAGCTTTCCATGTATAACGTTAAGCATACATATCGGAATGAATTGAATTCTTTTATTTTTTATTATTTTTTTAAAACAGTTTTGCTCATTCACATTTATTTTTAATACAATCCTCAGAACGGTTAAAGTTATAATTGGTCGAATCTTTACTTTAATAGCTCGGCATAATGTTGCTTGTGAATAAGTTTAAAACGCCAGACGAAACTAGAATGAAGCGAAATGAATAAGTTGAAGTTAAATCAATTTTAAATTGTGACTTACCCGATTGCAACAAAAGCCACCAAAAAGAGCGCCGCGCTAAGAAAATTGAAGAGACCCGGAAAAACAGACAACGAGTGCTGATAGATTAATGTATAGAGCGGAGCGGCGACTGATAAAAATGAAAATATTGTAAATTAGATATGTAATAGTGTAAAATCAAGTAAGAGGCTCTAGTCGGGAGTTGCCGACTAGGGGATACCTTTAACCCTCTTCTACCAAAACCAAACGCAGATCGCGCTAAACGCTCCTTTGTTTTAGCAGTAATAATCTTCGGCATGCCGAAGATATAATACCCATGCGGACCAAACCTTTTCATAATGATTATAGTGCTTTTACCCTTATCTAAGATTTTACGTATATATGAGGAGCATAGTAAAACTAATAAATTCCGCGATTAGCCAAGATAATTAATGAAAATGGGCAATACAAAATGGCTTATTTCCTTGATTTATTCTAGAAGAACGTCAAGTTTTCCGAGATTTCCTTAAAAAACATAATTTCGGTATCGATTTTCATCGATTACCTGTAATCGGGCAAGTTATCGATTTTCAGAAACAAGCTCGTACTGCTCGGACACTAGGAGGACCTGCATCCCAAAATTCAAGACTCTAGCTTTTATACGTTCAGAGATCCTTGCGGACGGAGGGACGGACAGACAGACAGACAGGCTTAGCTAGATCAAGAATATATATACTTTATGGGGCCAGAGACGCTTCCTTCTGGCTGTTACATACATTTGCAGAAATACCCTTTTTGCCCATTTTTAATGGGTATAATAAACTGAATACAAAACTTTTAAGTAAGGCACATACCGAAAGGCGCAAAGGATTGAAAAACATTCTTGATAGAGAAAATTTTACCTGTAAGTACATTTATGTTATTTAAGGTATATATCTATAAGGCTTCATATACTTGCCCAAGTCAGAGGCGGGCACTATATTCGAGACAATAGTGCGGCACATGGGTCCGCCAATGGAACGAAATATGCCAAAAGCCACTGATAAATACATGTGCCAAGGCAAAGAAGCAAAACCTCTGGTTAGATTGCTTAATATTTCCGAGCACAGGGAGAGCAGAGCCAAGGTGACCACAGAAAGACCAAAAACCTAAAAATTTGCAAATAAAATTAATGTGAATAAATAAATAAAAATTAGCTTGTAGGAAAAAAAGGATATTTTCAATTTGTTGTCAAAGGAGCCACATAATAGTCCGCCTTAGGCGACCATTGAAGTTCGCTAATGCTGAGTTTGGCAAAGATACATATCTAGAAAAACAGAATATTTTCCGTACAACAAATATTGTTTTATACAATAACGTATCTTTTGACAGGATAAGTGGTCCGGAGAGAATCAGACAGACGGATGGATGGAGAGTACATGTACACACTAATTTGGTTGATGATATGGATCAAGAATGCATATATGCTCCTATAAATTCCGTGATGAAATTACAATACCCTCAACAAGAGTCTAACAAGTTACACAAGCTTTGTAACATACCTTGCGCAGCAAAAGAATACCAATTAGAGCGCCTACCATGGGCACCATTTGGCTGATAGTCTCAAATAAGGTAAACTCCCGCACGGACCAGTGGAATTTTTGGCGCACAAACAAATACATGACTGTCATAGCACCATCTAAATGGAAGGCAATTAGATATGAGCACGTTAATTCATATAATACCACTCACCCACAACAAACATTGCCATAAACAT